CTGTATATCTATGAGCATGACTTCTGGACCAGGTTGCCTGGGTCTGAACCTAACTTCATCACAAACTGTGCGAGCTTGGGCAAGTTACCTCGCTTCTCCATGCCTCTAATTCCTCACTGGTAAAGGTGGTGATAATAATTCATAGGCTGCATGGACTAATCCATGTAAAATGCTCAGAACATGGCCTAGCACCCAATTCACACTCAGAAGCAATGAGCTATCCTCCTATCTGCTTGTGTCACAGCTCCTCATACACTGCAATGTATCAGTTGCTTTGTAGAGCTATTCAGTGTTAACTAACATATGGTTTGCCTTCTGAAAATCCTGATAAGAAAAAAAGTAATGACCTACACTTGGACAGGTCCAGATATGTTCCCTTAATCCTGCTGTTGCAATAGCAGAAAGAGCAGAGACAATGCAGACCCTTTCACAAGCGTCCACTTTGAACTGTCTGTGTGCTCCTGATGAGAAAGATACACGGATGATGCATGCTTTTGGATGCTGTCTCTCAATTTGAGAAAAAACAATGGGTGTCTGAGCTGCCGGCCTGAGCAGCAGTGGCACCCCCTTTAGCGAAGGGACACGAGTGTTCCTGGTGCAAAAATCACGGACGGACATTCACGCCATCAGCCGGGACTTTCTCGGCACCGGTTTCGCCCAGCAGGACAGGGGTGAGAGGATGTCCCGCGTGGTCTGCTGTCTGCATCTCCTGCTCTGAATGGACATTTCTCATCAAGCAGCACAGGCCGATGGCTTTCCCCATGTCTGCCCAGGAAAGCTCTAACTCTGCACAAGGCCGTTACCCAGAACAACCCTGGAGGAGCTGTGACCCGGGCAGAGCAACTGTCCTACAGAAGGGCAGGGGGTGAACTGAATGACCCCCCGGCAGGCAGCCTGGAACAACAGAGAGAGCTGCTCAGAGCCAGCCCCTCCGGAAGGAGGAGGGTTTGGTCCTGACGCACTAAAAAACAAATGTGGGCTTGGACAATTTTGTTGGAGCCCGGTGGCAGGAGGCTCTTGGTCATCTGTGCCGGGCTGGGGTTCAAGGACACCCACTGACGCCCGGGCAGGTCCAGATATGTTCCCTTAATCCTGCTGTTGCAATAGCAGAAAGAGCAGAGACAATGCAGACCCTTTCACAAGCGTCCACTTTGAACTGTCTGTGTGCTCCTGATGAGAAAGATACATGAATGATGCATGGTTTTTCCTGCTGTCTCTCAATTTGAGAAAAAACAATGGCTGTCTGAGCTGCCGGCCTGAGCAGCAGTGGCCCCCTCCTTTAGCGAAGGGACACGAGTGTTCCTGGTGCAAAAATCGGCCTGGGAACAGTGTGCTGGCGGCAGGACGGCTGGAATCGGTCGGCGGGAGGGGCATGGTGACCTCCCCGGGAGCGACTGAGGTCCCCAATCCAGAAAGGGTTCCATTTGCATCAAGATTCTGACTAAGAAAAGCAACATCCGAGAAACGGAGGTCAGGTTTAGACCTCTTAGTATTTTGCACCTTGGCTCTTAGCTCGCCCCAAATCGCCTCGGTTACCATCATTCCCAGGCCATCTTCTCTGTGGTCTTGTTCCATCGGACACAGGCCCGGGGGGGAAGGCAGACTAGATGTGCTCATTCATTTGGTCACAATTCAACCTCTTGGACTAGAGAAACATCAGCAAAGAACACGCTACCCACCGACATCCTAGCACTTTCATCTGTTTAGCTGGAAACTGTGGATAGCCTCGGGAACATCTGAACAGAAACCAGACTTACATGTAACAGTAAACTGTTTCCTGGCTACCACAGGGCTGTTGAGATCATCGGAAGCAGGGGTTTGGGTGGCATTTCTGGGCCCGCCCGGGCTTTCTGACAGCTGGTATGTGGGCACAGATGGTGGGGCGTGTTTAGATCAGTCATTGATCTCATGTAGAAACGGGCGCGACACGGCCTGGGAACAGTGTGCGGCCGGACGGCTGGAATGGGTCGGCGGGAGGGGCATGGTGACCTTTCCGGGAGCGACTGAGGTCCCCATTCCAGACAGGTTTCCATTTGCATTAAGATTCTGACTAAGAAAAGCAACATCTGAGAAACGAAGGTCAGGTTTAGACCTTTTAGTATTTTGCACCTTGGCTCTTAGCTCACCCCAAATCGCCTAGGTTACCATCATTCCCAGGCCATCTTCTCTGTGGTCTTGTTCCATCGGACACAGGCCCGGGGGGAAGGCAGACTAGATGTGCTCATTCATTTGGTCACAATTCAACCTCTTGGACTAGAGAAACATCAGCAAAGAACACGCTACCCACCGACATCCTAGCACTTTCATCTGTTTAGCTGGAAACTGTGGATAGCCTCGGGAACGCAGAGCATTTGAACAGAAACCAGACTTACATGTAAAAGTAAACTGTTTCCTGGCTACCACAGGGCTGTTGAGATCATCGGAAGCAGGGGTTTGGGTGACATTTCTGGGCCTGCTTCGTGTTTTACATACTTTTATAATTTGTATCTAAACGTTAATTGATTCAGATTTACAGACCTGTGACCGATGCGTCTTTTATCTTTTAATGGCGATATAAAACCCACAAAGTTGGTTTTTAGTCCTACGTATTGAACTGCCCCTGGGCTTTGGCTGGTGTCAATAAATTTAAGCTCCTTTATTTCAGGATTTTTAAGAATTGTAATGGAGATGAGCTACCATTTACTATCTGCAAAAAGGTTTTGTTAGCAAATGAAAACTACAAGCATCATATGGAGAAATTTTAGCATATCTAAGAGAAACTTATCTTTTCAGCATCTCAGAAGCTCCCACCCATATAAAAAATTTAACATGTTGATGGGGTAGTACTGATATCTATTTATTCATGATAGCACAGCTAGGAACTTTTATTTGATATTATAGCCTGGCAGTACTTACTAACTTTGGTGTGAGGGAATATTCCAAATTTAAAATAATAAGACTGTGTTTTTATATTTATTATTTAACATTCATATTAATTAGTTCCCCCACTAGTGCAATTAAAAAGAT